ACCCATTACCCATAACATCATGGCTACCACTTGCCCCTCGCCCCACCTGACTGATGCAATGTATCACCATCTTCACAGGATAACCTCATGTAGCTCACTCACTTATTCGATATGATGGCACGTGAAACAGAGGTTACGTTAGATTTGATTTTAAATCAATAAAAATATATAGTATGACGGAGAAGGAAGAACTGATAAAAACTGGTTTTGTTTACATTAATTTTTATTCACTGTACGCTGTTCGTCTAGAAGTCTTTGTAAATACCTCAGGATAAAATATCAAGTTTCACATACACATTATACATTGTACGTGATTTCCACAAAGCAGTATTTCAGAGATTACACAAAAGATTGAAGTGGGTATACCTGAGTTGACGACCTTCAAGCGTCAAACAGAACAGCAGAAGAGCGTGTGACGTAAAAAAGTAAATGATAGTCAAAGGGTCAAACGGAACATCAGAAAAGTGTGACATAACAAAGTGACATTGGCAATCAAAGGGTCAAACAGAACAGCAGATGAGCGTGACATAACAAAAGTAAATGACAGTCAAAGGTCAAACGGAACATCAGAAAAGTGTGACATAACAAAGTGACATTGGCAATCAAAGGGTCAAACAGAACAGCAGATGAGCGTGACATAACAAAAGTAAATGACAGTCAAAGGTCAAACGGAACATCAGAAAGCATGACGTGTTACGTAACATTGACCGTCATTCGCCTTGGCCAAACAGTACCAGGATCAGGAGCGTGACTGAACACACTGCATGACTAGGACAGGATGCTTGAGCTAAGACCATCGACTAAAACATCCTCAGTAATATTTCTTGTTGGCGAAACTATAATAAAATAATCATAGTCCACAGTAATTGTATTTGATTAATAGGTCTACTATATAACACGGCTACTTCAGTCACATATTTAAGGCGCCACGCGATGAGATTTAGACGTAGAATTGTCATTACTAGCCCAATTCATTCTAGAATTTTATATTTACCGGTACTCAGAAACCTGGAGATGTGTGTACCTAAAGACTATGTCAAGACTGCATACACAGATTTTTAAAGCTATTTTATACGGCCTGAGGATATGGGGCAGTGCGCCAGACGTAAAATGTGTATTGCTATTGCAATGTTTTAGCTTGTATGTTTTATATCTTTAAGATACATTTAAAATTTAAGATAAAGGCTGATAAATTTTCATGTACATGACATAATATTAACGACTTTTATTGATGTGCCTTATGTAATACGGCACTGAAACCCCCCAGGTTCAATACAATTTAATAAGTTTAAGATTTCTTAACAGACTCCCATGTGAAGCCAGCAACAAGAATTTTTAGAAATTCAAAATAAGCACTAGAAACCTTCATTGGCCAACCCACAATATTCTTGAAATTACTTTTTTAATATACCACTATACAGCAGCATCCGAAGGTACCTATTTTTTATTTTATTTTATTTTTTTTTTACTTTGGAGTTTTGATATTTTTTATGTATTGCTTATGTAAATGTACTACTAAGACCTTGCATGTTTTTAGTGAGTTGCTATGGTGGCATTACGTAGAATTATTTATGTAGTATCCCCAGTTACAAGAACAAATTATTAATTATGTTGGTTTACCTTATGATTGCCAGGTTCTTGATGAATGAAGAAGTTTAAGCTCTATGTACATTTTGCCACAAGTGTGGCATCTTCAGGAGCTGATTTATTGTAGAATTATTGTTGTCAGTTATTTATTTATTTATTTATGTAAACTTCTGAGTGTTATTTGTCTGTTGTGACTGTTGTTGCACATGTGTGATTGACGATTCCAAATGCAATATGACATTCAAAGGAAAAGAAACATCTTTATTGATATTCTTTACGTACCAATAGCTTCGAAACTATACACAAATAAGTTTTGAGAATACTTTGTAAATGCTTACTAACAATTATTGCAGAAACAAAATGGTGGTATGATAAACGTTTACCAATTTCTTTCTAATACCTAAAAATTACTGTCTTGGTTAAGCATATGTTTCTTTTCTGCGTTGCAGTTTTGAAACTCATTGTTGACCAGCTGTTTGATTGAAGCGTATTGCTTGAGCCATATAAACATAGCCTGATGCTAAAATGTTCACAAATTATTTTTAAAATCTAGACTACTTTATAAATGGTGTAGATTTTCATAGCTTTCATTTTACCCTCGTCTCATGGAATTTGTATCGGAAATTTGTGATATAACCCAGTTTCAAGAACAGTTTTAATCAATTACCTTTTTTGTTTTTGTTGCCTTGATGTTCTTGTTGTTTTTGATACCTGATGCGCATTTCGCCACAGAGGTTGTGGCATCTTCAGAGTTCACTATCCTACACTTACATCCTAATATATACACAGTTTATATACACGAGTCACTGTACCGGTTGTGACAAAACGCTACGATGTGAACCGGTACAGTGACTCGTGTATATAAACTGTGTATATATTAGGATGTAAGTGTAGGATAGTGAACTCTGAAGATGCCACAACCTGTGGCGAAATGCGCATCAGGTATCAAAAACAACAAAAACATCAAGGCAACAAAAACCAAAAAGGTAATTGTATTGGAAGCAGTTTGTAATTATTTGAAATATTTTACTGAGCAGTCGAGATGGTTTACAGTCACGGAGGTAAGTACCGGCCTATTTGGTGAGACTCAAGATCGTGTCTTATTGCTGTTTTATCATATAACTATTAACGGGTGGTTATTAGAACCTTACTCCCTTGTCTGTAGTTATAGTCAGATAACATGCCGTTCACACGATCAAAAAATAATCAGTCCTTTATGTGAAGATCCCTTTATTACTAATTATAACATTGCACGTAGTCTAGAGACTGAAATTTATTATTATTGTAATTTATAACATTTTTATTTTAGTTTGATGTTCAACGCTGAAATGGGGTTTAGGTATAACAAAGGGAAGTCTTTGGTATAACCGTATAACCTAACATTGTATCGTATGTTATCTTGTGAATTCTACCTATACTATCGTGGTGATAGTTTCAGCTAGAGAGAAGCAGAAACAAGATATACGAATGTAGATGTTGGTTGTTGCGGCTGGAGACATGAGCCTATTTGCGGGCATAACGGTCGATGGCGTGCATATGAATGGTAACGGTGCCTAGGTCGCTCAGCCGCCCAGCGCTTAGCCGCCCAGCGCCCAGTCAACCGCTAACTAATTGGGCTGGGTACATGAGTTACTGTGTACCTACTAGTGTACCAGTGTACTGGGTAGTGGTTGTTTGGTAACTAAGCACACTGGATACTCCATTAACTGGGTGCTGAGTACATTGATACTACTGGGTAATGAATATAAGATAACTGACTAAACTTTGATCTCTATACAATAATACAATCTACTACTGTATTGAGTTCACATCGGTTTTATACTAATATTTTCCTCGAACGAGTGATTGAGCTTAATCAGTTCATAAATACAGTGTACTTCAATAAAACGAATATTCCCTCTGAAATAAAGATTTACTACTAATATGGTATATTATGAACATAATGCCCTTATAATATGCATTGGGGTAAGCAACGTATAAATGCCCCTATTGATATATAATATATATAAATATATCTGTTGATACACCCGCTTGGCAGATTGCTTATAACCTTCTTTGGTTCTACCATTACACCTAGCAATAGTTATATCTGCCAGTGCTAATGGTGAATTCCGTTATTTCATTAGTAGTAAGTGTATACAGACTACAGATTATTATGTGGCATTAATGACCCACCACCATTAGCAGTTCGGACAAAGACTCACAAGTCTCTGATAAAAATTGAGATTTGAATGAAACCCTCGCTTTCTTTACATTTTTTATGTAAAAACAGTAATTTCAATGTAACACCAATTTGTAGATGGTGGTGGAGACTTGCCAAAACCGAATGCTTTGTTATACAACTCACACGTTAGCTCCGATCTATATTTTGGAAATACGTTTGAATTTGTTTTATCACGACGATCTTTCTTAGCATGCATTGAAATTTATTGTCTTACTGTTGTAAGCTAAAGAACCGTATTTCGCCACCTCGGAATTAAACACGTCTGTAACTACAAACCCATACGTTATGGTCCCCAGTAAGATGTAACTTATTTTTAAATTGTTTTGATATTATCTTTAATAGCCTTTTGTTGTCTTTGTCTTAGTTGGACGTAACAAATTGTATTTTTAGTTTCAGTTTATATTTGTGAATCTGTCCACACGTTGTTGCCAATGATTGTTGCCAATGATTGTTGCCAATGATTGTTGTCAATGTTTGTTGTCAATGTTTGTTGTCAATGATTGATTTAAGATTAAAACTCGTGTATATCTACAAATCAGTAATTTCTTTGATTAAGTGATTACGGCATTGAAATAAAATATAACAAGTTGGTGTCTCAAAGAACCAAGATTGCGTGGTGCTAAGAAAATGTTTATTGTTATAGACCAAATCATGTTTTGACAAAAATTTACGTTCAAAGTAACAAACAAAAATAATTATTATTGCAGCAGCAGTTCTGAAATGACAAAGTTATACTTAAAATCATTGCTATGTTCTTTTTTTACAAAGTAGTCTTTGCATTTGAAACCATATCTCATATATACCGCATAATAAACGCATGCAAAAATATCCAGCAATTATCCTAATTTCAAAGTAGGCTATTTATATTTCTAATGATCGTAAAAAATCAAATCGTTTCGTAATTACTTAAATATTTATTTTGTTTGAGAAAACAAATAATGTTTGTGATATTCGCAAAATGAGTATTTTAATATCTATATATATAATTCTGTAATTTCAAATAAATCTGAATATAAACCTGAATATAACGTTGGTTGGATTTGTAAGGATGTAAATGGTTCACGTTTGTTCATATTAGAAAAAAATGTAAAATATTATATATATTTGATGATATTGTAAAAATAAAACAATAGCCGATTAATGATGTTAGGAATTACACGATGCTGTGTATGCATACTACTATACTGACCGTGGCTGGAAGGCATTGACATTGGCACTACTGTACAATACTTGACACACACTCGCGGGAGACCTCAGCTGAGAGCAAGAGCAACACGTATGATATGAGTGTCTTGGTTGTGTACCAGCACCCGCCGGTCCCCCACCCCTCCCTACACAGCCCCCACTACCTCCCAACAGTACCCTGTCAACAGTTATATTATCACACAACAGTCAAAAAATGTTTTCAGCACCTTAGGCTTGAGATAAATGAATTCCTCAAGTCACAAACTGTTTTATTGTTCGAAACTGGACCCAGCTGTCCTTGACTACATAAACAGCTGATCTCAGTCGAAAATCTACAAAATGCCTCATTTTTGGGGTGGAGTATGTCCAGTCGCATGGATAGTCAGTAATAATGTAATAATTTCCTCTTTTAAAAAGATAATTAGTTCTAGATAAAATTGTTTAATAAACTTTGTGTCGCAAAATAAAAAAAATTAAGTGTAGGTACCTAATTGTTGGGCTTATTTATCAGTTTCATAAACAGCCTCCGTGTGAAAATCCCTCGGCGTTGTGACTGCTCGAAGTCAGATCACCTAATCAAAGTGCCTTATTTTGTGTTAATATACCAAAGTCTGGAGCATTTGGATTTGGGGGGGCTAAGTTTATGTGGGTTGTCGGTTACGGTATGTATATAATAGTCGAAGAGACTTTTTTTTATGGAAAACAAATAACAAATTGGTCCGCAGAATTTGAATGTGGGTTAAGGGTTGAGGTAACTTACTTACTTACTCCTGTGGCTTATTCTTCTGGAAAGGTTATTTTTACTAGTATGTCTAGATTCGACGTGAGAGACTTGAGCGAGTTATTTGGTGAAAAGGGTGGTTATCATAATACCATATTATATTATTGTGATACGTGGTCTTTCACTGGTGCAATGATATATGTGCAAATGTTGTGTTTCCAACACTCTGTCTCAACATGATACATTAAGTTTTACCATTAAAGTACGGTAGAATATGGACAATTCGTGACTAGTAACTAGTTCGTAACTAGTTCCTACTGGAAACTGTCTTAAACGGCCATTCACCGGTGCTCTCCCAATGTTTCTGCCCTCTAATTATTGTTGTCAATTTTAAAAGTGTAGAGCAACATTTGTGTTGATAGCCTACTAACATTAGTAAATTATTGGCCTGTTCCAAAAGGATGTTGCTTTTATTGTGAATCATTGCATGCATTCTGGGAATTTAGTGGACACTCCCAAGTGAAAGTACCAGGATGAAAATAGCAAACATATGAACACAACTTTCGATATTTCGGCTTATAAATATGAGGCACTTTCTGTTTCTTATCAAGCATATTAGTATACAGTCTGTCGTCGCCTGTCGTATATTCCTGGATTACTTTCTTTTTGACTACCTGGATCGAAGGTACAATTTTCTTCTATCGCTATAAAAAATAAAAATTTCCACACGACTGTGTAAACTTCCATCAAGACTGTCGGCTTTCCTCGCGTATTTCACTCACACAATTTTCAATTGATGTTTAAATAATGATTTTGCAATTAGGTTTTAGACGATAAAGAGAGAAATGTCATTCAGTTCCCTCGTCGGGTACGAGCAAAGTCTGTTTCTCTGTCCGTCTGTAATATATATTTCGAAATAAAGCAGACGGATTTTGACTAAATTTTGGTAGGGACTTACAGCCTTAAAACGTGATTGACGACAGTCACTACCTCAGGAAAATTTCTATTTCGCTTCACACTCTTTTGAAAATTTAAAAATTTAACATCGGCCTTATGGGTTGCCAAGTAACTTTGTTGGTTGAACAAAATAACAAGTAAAAACTAAACAAAAGACTTGTAACATGTGTTTACAATAAGCCATCCACAGTGTACTAGCAAATTACAAAATACATTACAAGGGAACAACATTGATTATAACTTTTGAGCAAAGATTACACTGTAGATTACTCGAATTGGAGAATAGTTCCGAACAAATACTGTACTGATTATTTTACGTAGCCCTCTTTCACCAAAACTTAATCCCCGAAGTACTGAGGAGTTCCAAGTAAACTAATTAAGTCTAGGGGTTTTAATTTGGCATAAGACTATTACGGTATGCTAAATCCCAATGAAAAACAGACAGAATCTCAATTTCTTTGAGTAGTGAAAACGCCAAAAACCGTTGTCACAAGCCATTTTGAGACTAATGTGATTTTGTTTATATCATATTTTTATCTGCTGACATTGGTAAGCGTAAGTCGAACAACGAGTTTCATTGACTAGAGGGGAGAAAAGATCTGTGCGAATAAGTACTTAAACTTAAGCAAGATTATAAAAGTGTATCATATTTTTGTTTAGTTTTACTTTACAGAGTTTGTCAGTGATCAAATATCAAATATGATTTGTAATAAAAACGTTTTTCGTAAATTATAAAATAACTGTTTACGATATTGTTTTAACGATTAAACCCAATAAACCACAACAGAGCAAGGCTCGGTCTCGCGGTACTCTGAGTTAATCAACGACATGAACATGCAAATGTAATTCTGATACCTCATGAAATAAAGTATAGCACAAAATGAAGGTATGTATAGCTTGGATGCTGAGTGGTTATAGTGTTCAAAAGGTAATCAAAAGGTCACCGGTTTGATCCTAAAATGTGAGTTGCTTTGCTCTGGCTAATGAAACAGCTGATATCAGTAACAAAGCTACAAAGATTACTTTATTCTACACTATTACCTTGTTATTGTGTCAGAGAGTAGTTATACCATATGTACCATAGCAGTATGATTTATCTATGGTTATACACACCCGGAGATGTGGCTGTCCTGTCGCAAAGAACTGTTAAATGATGGTAATCGAGTCAAATCATGCCATAGTGTTCAGGGTATGAAAGTAATATGCCAAAAAACGCCGTAAATATATGCATGATCTAAAACGGTAGATACAAGATAGTGGCTGACATACAAATGAAATCAAATATAATAAACTAGCTGTTGTACCCGTGCTTTGCAACGGGAAGAGGACACAAAATAGAAACATTTTTAATCTTTACATCTGTTGCATATAATAGTTACACATCCGCCAACGCTTTTAGAAACAAAATTCAACTTTTATGGCCTTAATAGAAACGTTTAAGTGATGACTTTTAAATTTGGTAAGTAGTGGATACCACCATTTTGGTTTTGATTAATTTTAAATCTTGTGTAGGTTGATATGAGAACAACTGACCAAATCTTCGAATAAAACTTTGACATACATGAAATACCTTCATCTCCCTTAATTACATATCTTTTAATTTATTATTGACATTTTAAATTTCAATTTTGAAGTTGCAAAAATACGAATTATTAAATTTAAATGAATTTTTTTTAAATTTCACTCTTCTTCATATTAAATAACAAGTCCTTCCATCTTCAGTTTCTTCACTCACAAATTAATCATTAGCAAAACTAAGTCAGCTGTTATAAACTTTAGAAGTATTGTTGTGCCTTATCAATACAGTCTTTTGAAATATTAAAGAAACTATATCTATACTATAAAAAATTGTAAACAAACAATTTAGCATGAAAGACAGCAGCAGACAAAACTAATATGATTATCAAAGCGTCGAGGACTAAAAATGTAATAGCAGATGCAGTACATATATGTTTCATTGCATCTCTGATTCTACTCTACAAAAACATCAACTTAATATACAAACCAGTTCTTTTAATCAGTTCCATCGTCCATTGCCTTTAAATTTTCACACTTACCACTAAGTAAACATAGTAACAGATATTTAATTGATTTTAGGAACAAAAGAACACTGTGTACTGCTTAGTTTTATGATATTTTCCTTGGTTTAATTTAATCAGTGGTGTGGCAAAACACAAATAATAAATTTATCAAATAAAGTAAATGTGAACTGAAAGCTATGTTATAATAAAATAAGAGTATTTTGTATTACCATTTGATAATTAAATATAATCACACACATACAACAGATTTTAGAACACAAAAATCAATTACGTACAATTTAGTTATTGATGATATTCTTTAGTTTAATTTAAGCATAGGTTTAGCAAAACACACTAAATTTACCTAAATATACGTATAAAAAACAATGTGATGTGCAAGTTATGTTAAGTTAAATCTAACACTTGTTAAGCAGTTCGAATTTATTTAAAGTAGCCTCCAAATTCATACAAAACATCTATACATTGTAATTTGTAAACCTGTTTCCATGAAAACACATCAATAACATTATTTTCATAACTGAGACGCTTTAAAAAATCCAAAGCAGAGCCGGAGTTTTTACAGCAACGGTTATAGAATCTTTTTTTATAATCATTGACAGTTTTAGAATAAATAATCCATGATAAAACGCTAGATAAACCTACCTCATAGTTATGGAAAATATTATATTTAACTTTTTTGTATCAGCTGTTTGAAATTGTGAAATATGCAATTTAGCAGTTCTTCTTGTTTACATTGAAATGTCAAAGCAAATGTAAACAAACATTATTAGTGTTGTAATCGCATCCATGGAGACCAATCAATATTTACGTTTAAAATGTTCACCTCAGAAATTTTAAAGCCAAAGGGGCAAAGCCTATGGTCAGTATCGAAATGTGAATAGTCCTATAATGGTCCTTGGTATGTTAGCTATATTTTTGTAAAATTTAAGCCCAGTTGGTTCAGTAGTTTTTGCACCTATTAGTAACACACATACAGACAGACACCATTAGATTTTTATATAATAGTATAGATAAATAGCAATACATTCAATGTCCATGAGAGATCAGTAAGCCCAACTGTCGTTAGTGCTACAGTATACTCACCGTCGTTAGTGCTCAAGTAGCTCATTAATTATTAGAGAGATTGCGAGGGTTGACCCCCCCCCCACCCCCTCACAATCTTTCTACTATAACTCACTTTGACAACTATTAAATACAAATTAGGTTTGTTTGTTGCGTGGAAAGGATGAACCGCGGGCGTCCATGAAAACACCTCAAAATAATGATACAAATGAAAACACCATTTTATATTTATTTACAGGTTGGCCGAAAAAATATGTTTTAGATAAACTAGGTAAAATAAGGTTGA